CTGGCCAAGCTATACAGGCCTCTGCCGGTGTAGACCAAGGAGTCCTGGGCTGATGGGCTGAGGGGGCCAGCTGGAGAGGGAGGCTCAGGGCTGTGCAGTGTGTCTGAGGAGCCGTCATTAGGGTTCACCCCTCCTCGGGGATGGGAACCAGGTCACATTCTCTCACACAGCACAAAGCAGTGTGTGTGTGATAGGGAGGGGCTTTGATGGGGTGCAGGCCATGACCTCTTTATATTCATCAACAGATTGCTAACTTGGCCTATAGACATGCTCATATAACACATTCACACACACTCGCCTGCATGCAAACACATACTAATGTGTGCGTATGTGTACACACATGCACACTCACAAAAATGCAAATTTAAAAACAAGTACAAGCTCTGCAAGAGGCCTGATATGTATTTTTACCTGAACATGGTCCCAACAGCTTAAAGAATCTGTTGGCTGAGACACTGTTAACATGAAAATTTTCAACAAGGCATGAAAGAATATATCTATTCTTCCAAATGAATCTTTCAAACAATGATGAACTGATGTCAAATATTATAGGATGAAACATATATAGTCACAAATCCAATAAATTAAAGAAATCTTCTTGTAAAAAAACATTATGGACAGTGCCAATCTAAATATTTTAATTATTAAATTCTATTGCACTTGTCTATCTCAGGCCACTGAGGACAACTTTTGTTACAGGTTAGCGACAGAGGGTGGGGGGGAAAAAACTGTAAAATACTGCCCCCTCTTGGTACCTGAGAAGTCCTGCACACAGAAACCTTGACAGAGCTGTTGGAATCCATGAGCATTATTAGCCCAAATAGTCACATTTTGTTATTTCTTTTAAAAAAAAAAAATACAGTTGAGTGTAAATCAGAATTTTTTTTATTTTGAAATCAATTTGCAAGATTGAATATATCTCACCTGCCCCTTTACAAACTTTTAAAAACCAAAAATATTCAGTTTATTAAAAGATTAAAATATGATTCAACAGCAGTTATGACCATGAGAACACTATGTTAATGCAAACATGAAATTATTGGCACAATGCAATAAAAGCAGATATATTCTTTCTGACTCAATATTACATTTATAACTTTAGTGAGCCTGAGTGTAAACATATCGAGGCTACAGGTTATAGCAATATTATTTCTTTATAATTTATTCTTTGTCTCTGTATTTGAGTTCATCTTTTTGTGCTTTGTCTGTCCATGGAACGCATATCGCTGTCAGTGGGTTCTTTTTCAAGCGAAATAGACATCAAACCACTTAGATCTGATCAGCTCCTCCCATATACAGCATCAATAACTAAGGCATGGCCTCCTCTTTATAGTGTGCTTGTACAATAATCAGCTGTGCGTGTTCTGTTTTTGTGAATGCATGTTTCTATGAGAGTACATAAGGTCGTCCTGCATTCAACATCTCTGTGACAAACTAGTGCAATTGTGCATGTTGTTTGACAAAGCTTATTATGGTAGTGTCTTCGAAAGGCACCTTCTCTCTCCAGGTTATTGGTTCTCATCTACCTGCTTAGTCACAGACCTCACAAAAAGGCAGTAGAAGCTGGGAGGGTGAAGGTAAAGGGCAGCGCTGCACAGCCTTTTCAGTTAGGGGAGATCGTGCGTCTACGCAGGCAGCTGCATGTCAGGCACTTGAGGATGCTCATGGTGATGTGCATGAGAGGACCAAAATTGAAGAGCAGGTTGTAGAAGGTGTTGACAGACAAGCCACCAGTCTCGTCTGCGTACTTTAAGGCCACGATGGGTGTGTAGAGGTTGTTTGTCAGATTCCTAAAGCGGGGGCTGCTGGACTCAATAACCTTCTTTGTGCACTGGAGAGAGGAGAAACATCAGATTTCAGTGCTATGGAGGCTGGTTGAATGTTTGTACTATTTAGTGATCACAAAAACACACCATGGATTTTTGAATCCTGAGACAGGTTCAATAAAATGTGAGTTAGAAAACGGTTCCCTTACTTTGGCTATGTCCTCTGGTGTCTGGCCCATGGCTTCAAAAATATCTGTGGATGATGGCAGGTAAACATCTTTAAAATAACGCACTGTGTCTGCATCTACTCCTGGATACTCCATCTTAGCCACATCCTCCATCATCTTTGTCTCAAACTCAGTGTGCACTGGGCCAGGCTCAATCATGGACAACCTGAGCGGAGGCAGATACAGGAAGTTCTGTGAGGGAAACTCATCACCATGTTGTCTGCTTCAGCTATTAAGTTTGCAAAGGGAAACTAAAGCACCTGGTATCCAAAACTGAGCAAACACGTACTGTAAACCCGAGGATAGTTGATTCATTTAGTAATTGTTTTGTTTTTAATTTTAAATTTCTTAATACTGACAACTGTTTGTCTCAAACACAACCACCTGGATTTTTAGTTTTGTTTTACTTGTGTGCTCGATGTTGTAATTTATGAGGCTGCCATCCTGGCCAGGTCTCCCTTCAAATGAGGGATGCAAATTTCAGGGGGATTGCAGCCTGGTTAAATACAAATTCAATAAAATAAATCTACCGTATATTGAACTTCATCAGTTGAACAGCCATACTCTCACAGAACCCTTCCATGGCAAACTTAGAGGCAGTGTAAACATCATTGAACACCACTCCTGATCCAAGAACAGAAACAAGGAGATAAAGGACGGCATAACTTTTCACTTTTCACACTGCTCATTATCAACAGACATCATTCAAACATCAGTCAAAAAATCATTTACACATAATCAGTAATCAACCACATAAACAATTAGAAGTCAGATAGGACAATTTAAGGACAGGATATAATGTGAAGCTATTAGAAATATATCACCTGTGAAAGACTGTGATACAAGTTTTAACCAAAAACAAATACTCTTAGCATTTCTTTTGGACACACACACACACACACACACACACACACACACAGGTCATACCCTGAAGACCCATAACACTGCTCATGACTACGATGTGTCCTGAACGCCGTTTCTTCATGTCTGGCATCACTTCCTTGATCATGCGAACCACACCAAAGAAGTTGGTCTCGAATACTCTTTTCATCTCCTCTATGCTGATGCTTTCTACGGGTCCGAGCAAACCCACACCTGCATTGTTGACTGAAATACAGAGACATAGATGACACAAATAATACAGTTATCAAACCTTTTACATGAGACTTTTTAAATACATAGACCCCTCATTTGAGAGAATAGATACAGTATTACTTAGCATTGCCACCAGATGTCAGTGTGTGACAAACACATTGAGGTGTGATGTGACACCAGTCCAGGTTGACAGGCCTCGGGGTCATGACTAATTAGGTGAAGAGGGTGTAATGTTGGAATTAAAGTCAGCTGGAGGCAGGTGTTAAAACAGAACCTTAATCCAGACTAATTGAAATCAGATTAACCTGACAACCTACAGTTTACTGTTCTCATAGAACAAAACGTCACTGATCAGTACCAATGAGCCAACATTAAGAAAAATAACTAACAAAAGAAGGTGTCATGACCAGATGGAAATACAGGCTTACCTTCAATACACAGTCAGGACTTCAGGACATACAGTAACTCTAATCGATATAGCGGTCCTTTCTTTTTTGTGTAGAAGCTATCTGCCTATTGGAATTTCAAAACTCTTCTGATCTCCTCGTCTGACCTCATCTGTGTCAACCACAGAACCATGAAGGACAGTTCTACATATGAGTAGCTACTGTTTCAAGAATCTCCAAAACCGTTGTCCAGTTATTACAGTAATAACACTGAACTATGATATTGTGCTTTTTACTTGACAAGTCTGTTAGATTTCTTACTGTTACTCTCTCCTGTGTAAAACACATTAATGTTTGTATTAAATGCAGGTTACTACAGAGAGAAGTCTGAGTGAGGGTATCATAATGAACAGGCTGAATAAGGACATCTGTAGGTTATATACTAAAACTATTTATCTGTTCCAAAATACATAATAAAAGCAAAACACATTTATACATGTGTTTATCCACATGCAGGAGATGGATAAAACACCAAATTCAAATCTGGATATTAGTTCAGATCAGAGGTATGGGCCTGTTTTCAGACATAACTCACTCACTCAGGATATCAATATGGCGGTCCTTAACATTGTTAACGCACTGCCTGATGGACTCATCACTGCACACATCTAGCGGAAGCAATATCAAGGTTTTGCCATATGCATCTCCTGCTGCCTCCATTAATTTGTCCTTCTTCTTCAGGTCCCGCATGGTGGCAATGACTGTAAAGGAAAGAGAGACGTGGAAAATATTATTAAACTTATATGATGAGCCTTCAAACTTTACGAGAAGCTCTTTATTATTACAAGAAAATGTTTCTATAAACATATAGTAACAAACTGGAACTCAAAATTGTTCTACTTTTCATTTTCACATTATATTATTTGATAAGGGAATAAATTATCAATAATTATTTTCTGTACTTCAAAAAAAACCCTTGACCAGCGATGACAATGATTAATAGACACACTGTAACTAACACACACGCGCAGTTGAGACAGAGTCAGACATGCAGGTCAGAGTTCCTAGAAAAGACTACGCCTGGATTGATTTCCTCTGAACTTTAGCCGCTGGGCAACATTAACCTGCAAAAGCACAAGGATCTATCATGATTAGTGACAGCAGCTATCATCAGTAGGCTTGGCTCTCATTTCTTCCATGTTCTGTGTTCTGTTTACTGTACTGCCAGAGAAAAGAGATATAATACTGTTGCCCAATCGAAATCAGTGAGGGTAAACAACCTCTTATTCACACGTACTGTTCATCTAAATCTTCTTGTTGTGCCTGATAAGCCTCGCCTGATACTTGTTTGAACAAAGACTGATTTGGGTAAGTAAAGGGCGGGTGGCTCTGCGATTACTGATGTAATATTTCATGAGCACAGTCTTGAAAGTAGACCCATTTTTGAGAATGTTGCAGTGTAATGCAACATATCTTGTGCATTAATGATGCAAAGAGATTTACAGTATGTAGTGGTAAAGAAGTAAACAAGAGGTACATTGTTCCTCTGGCTCCTTTGGCAGCTTAAACGTTCTTGAATGAACCACACTGCGTTGCACACACAGAGAGGTCTTGTTGCAACTTAATATAACTTTATGCACAATGCAATATTTAATCTTTGTTGGATTTCTTAAGCCTTTGGGAAAGCAGGTCACTATGTGAAAGAAACATCTGCTCAAACCAGAGGTAAAGGAGTGGTTCATCACTTTTGTTTTTCTCATGTATTTCACTGTAATAAATCCCATCAGATTCCAGTGCCCCCCAGAGAAAAGCAAAACTTATTTTGCACAGTTGTTCTTAAACTGGCTCCATTACTGAAATTGGCTAAAATGGGTTTAATTACAGAATGTATAAGATAGCTACCTTACACACTGACTGTAGGCCAACAGCTAATTATGTAATTCTGCATAAAGTCCACAGCAAAATCCTGTCACAAGGGAGTCTTGAGGACAAACTCCTACCAACAGGATGGGGTGGGAGTGTAGTGTAATTCTTTTTGAGGCTCCATGACATATGTTTTGGTCCCCCAATTCCTAGAGTGACATTAAAGTTGGCTGGGAAGCAGGAGAGGAGATGCACAGCCCAACAATGGCAAAGTGGGAGCCCGTAACTCCACTGTGCACCAGTGAAGACTTCAAACAAGGCCCTTGCTTTAGAGTGAACCCTGCTTGTACAGGTCTCAAACTTTGTCCCCCTTTCAACACTAGCTCCAGCGAGGGGACTATAGGCACATTAGACACGGCACTAAACCGGAGCAGGCGGTCTACAATTCACTGCGATAAAAGGGGCCTTTGTGCAGGAGAAGTCACTAGAAACAGAACTGACAAGACTCCTTTTATGATTCCGCCTGGCAAGCGACAGCCCTCCAGAACCATACCCTGGAAACTGCGCTTCAGACGTGAACAGTTAAGCCAAAGGGGCGACAGAGTCCCAGTCCTTACAAAAGGATATGGATCCAGTATCACTAGGGTTAGCTATTTCAGTGGACACTGCACAGAATCCCTTCATGCTTTAGGACGAGCTGTTGCGCATGAAACTCACCCAAACTTTGTGCGTAAATGACACTTGGTGCAGAGCTTTGCAGGGAAAAGTAAATACTGAATAGCTGTTTAAAGCAAACCACACTATTATATGTTTACGTCTAATGGGTTCGATCAAAATAACAATGTAGAAGAAAGTGCATTTACCATGGTAACGCTTGTTTTCATCTTTGGCCAGCGTGACGGCGATTCGTAACCCGATGCCGGAGGAGCAGCCGGTGATCAGCACAACTTTTTGGCCGCTATTCGCCATGACTTGTCCGGGAAGGCGCTGTGTTTTTCAGCGGTCTTCTGCTCCGGGTGGTCGATGCCGAAGGAGCTACCGATCCCCGGACTTTAAAAGAGTAAAGCGGATCACGCAGCCATGTGAGCCTCTAATTCAGTCACATGTTCCACAAAAGCAGTAACCAAAAAGATGTGGCATTGCAAACACCCTTTCCTGACAAGATTTTAAACTTGATAGGTGCCGCGTGCCCTGGAAGTGAAGTTCATTCCTTACAAATGTGTGGCAGTGCATTGCGCGCGTGCGTGTTATAAAGGGGGCAGTGCTTATTTGATTTGCGAGCTGGTGAGCGCAACAAGTAACTGTACTGTGCACTAGTTCACGTCGCCCAGTGATTTTTCATGCCTACTGGTATTTCTGGTTCACTACAGTATTACAGTTAATATTAGGACTCTCACTGTTTATGACAACATTCTGAACCCTATTATTTTAATATTATATATTGTAATTAAATGTTTTTGTATAAACAAGTGAGCTCTGACGTATTTGAGTACACGTGATTCCATAACAATTATTATTATTATTAGTAGTAGTAGTATTAGTAGTACTGTTGTTGTTATTATTTTTGTTTTTGCTGTTGCTCAAATTAGGGGCCTGTTTTTCTGCACTGGCTGATTTATTTGGGAAAGTAGTCACTTTTGGAAGGTAGTGAGGCTGTGCTGTACTGCCATCTGGTGGCAAGAACATGTGCAGCACACTTAATCCATGATGCATAATACCTTATCAAATGAGCACAACTAATTCCACTGCTGGATTATCTAATAAAAATGTGTTATAAGGGACTAAAGTACCTTTGATTAGATTGCAGAGCTGATTTTTTTTTCCTGATGAAAAGCCATAGTGCAGTTTTCAGTCTGTTTATGTTTGTTGCTAAGTGTGATGCAGCAACATGCAAACTGCAAAAGGTGTAGTAGATGGCCCTTATGTTTTCCATTTGCTGTAATACTGATCCTCCTAACCCCCAAGCAGAGATGAGTGATCCAAAGAACATTCTAGAGTGACCACTAAGTGACTGATTTGTTGAAAGTAATCTGTATTGTATATATCCCTCTCTTGTAATTCATTTGAACTGCTTTTGCATTCAACTATCATCTGCCACGCCATAAGAGAAATTTCAGACATGGCTCCTGGTTCCTCCAATTATGAATGTTTTTTTGTGCTCAGATTTTTGATTAGCTTGTTGTTTTTTTTTAAACATATACATTCTTAATAACTTAACATAGTTGTTGCATGAATAATTTGCACATCTGTTTCTGTTTGAGGAAATGAACTGAACTGGGATTGTTATCCTTGATCTTCTGCAGCTCAGGTATCGTTTGTTTCTCATCTTAAAATAGTTCAGTAGAATTAGGCACTACTTTGATATTCTGTAACATTTTATAATGATTAGTTAAGATTATTAGTATGATACATGGAGCTCCACACAGGTTACATGGGTTTAAGTGTATTCTCCACAAAATATTTATGCATTTAACCTGATCACGTATTCCATTTTGAAGCAAACTTCTCAAAACATTTATTCCTTCATTTGTGAACATGAGTATATGAGTCATTAATATAGGACCCTGTTTTAATTCTTTTATGTGGTTAACCGCTTTTACTCCATCCCCATTTTAACATGTTAACATCAAGGTCATATTAAAAAGACAAGATAAAATAAGGTGAAAGCTGAGGACACCTACTCACCTACCACACAGAGAGAGCAGCAGAGGGATCAGTATGAGAGGACAGGCAGTGAGACCTGGGTTTTCTAGCCTGTTTGCCAGCTCTAAGGGTAAATAAAGGTCACTTGTGGACGGGCCTAATTGTCAGGAAGACATCATTTAACAATGTCTGGAGCTCTGGCCTGATCCATCATGGGTCGGCCAGTAACCAGCAGGCTAGTGGTATATAATTCAACACATGACATACAAAAAAATCTTTTTCATAGACTTCCAAACATCATTGTTTGTGACAAACTGTCTATTAACAGAGAGCAGCCTGTCAGCTTACATAGAGTTCAGGCCCAATTTCCTCTTGCTGTCTCATAAAGCTGATGTCTGTTTGTTTGGAAC